CGGTGCCTCCCGGCGGCCCTTTGTTCGCGCGCGCGTGGCGGGAGCGCGGCCCGGTGAGCGAGGCGCCGCTCTCCCCGCAGCCCAAGCAGCTCCCCGAGAAGTGGCAGCACGACCTGTTCGACAGCGGCTTCGGGGCGGGCGCCGGCGTCGAGACCGGCGGGAAGCTGCTCGTCTCCAACCTCGACTTTGGCGTCTCGGATGCCGACATCCAGGTGAGCGGCGCCCGCGGCCCGTCCGCAGCCCCGGCGCGGGCACTGCGGCCCCGGCCCCCTCCCTTGTTTCCTGCCCCAAACACCGCGTCTCCTGCGCAGTTGTTTGGTGTGAGGAAAACTGCCCCGCAAAGGGCTGCTGCCCTCAGAGCTGCGGCTGGTGGCACCGTAGGTGCCCGCCGCAGTGTCTGTGCGGGGTAACGCTGCGCTTCGCCGGCCCTCCTGTGCGCCGAGCATGGTGTAAGCTGCGTAAACACTCAAAATCTGCCCAGCTCCCCAGGAGCTCGGCAGCCAGTGTGCGGTGATTGGGGAGCTGTGTTTCTATGGACCCCCTTTATGTGGTGTCTTTGTTCTCTTAAATGTGAATGCTTTTCTATGGGAGCATCAGTCAGTGAAATTAGGGAGGCTGATTTGCGAGGGGGGATGTTCCCCCTTTGCTGTAGGATCTGTGTTTACATTTCTTACAGTGGTTCAGTTTTTCAGCTGGGTTACCATATTGGGCTTCATCGCTGTTCCAGCTCTGCTTTAGTGAGAAATCTGACATCTGCTTTGGGTCAGGATTTGGTTTGAGACAGTCTTCGCGTGGGCTGATCAGATGCGACGGCGTTGATGCCCCCACCCAGCTATAGGGCTGCTGTAATGTACTGAAAACTGTAGAGCCTCGAGCGTTCACAGGGAAGGTGCTTCCTCACTGCAAGGATTTGCTGCTTGGGACGCAGTGCGGAACGCTGCTCTTTAGGTGGCTTTTGGTCCTGATGCCAGTAAATGCTTTTCCATCTGTTAACTCATTTCAGTTACTCTATGTGTTAATCTGGCTACACCTGGAGAATTGAGAGTGAGTGTTTTTTCCAGGTCACCTAGTTAGCGTTCAGTGAGTAATGCACTTTAAGCCACTTCTTTTCTACTTGAGGTTAGCTTTGGTCGTGCTTGCTGGAGCCAGGCCCTGATGTTTTAGGTGCAGGTCTATAAAGATGCCCGAGTTCAGCTGGTTCCTGTGCAGCTGTGGTAGTTAACACGTGACTACCACTCTTGGTTTGGATGGTGGGTGCTGCTCAGGCTCCCTGTGTGTGTTATTTGGCAGCAAAGCTCGCTTTAGCAGAGAGGTGCAAAGCTCATTTGCACCTATTTGTTACTGCCTGTCTTGTAATTTAGCACTTGCTCAGCCACGCTGCTCGGTTTCCTTGTATCTGCACCCGTCCCATCGCTAATGCACGCAGCTGCGAGCTGCCTCGGCAGGAGCGTGAAGCAAACCTCGCTCGTCGGGAAGCCCTGAGCTCCTGCTGCTGCTCTCGGAGAGCCGGGCCGTGCGGCACGGGGAGAGGCTGCTGCTGAAGGCGCCGTGGAGCAGCCGCTTGTGTGTGCGGCTCCGTGTTCTGACCGCTTGCCCGGAGCGCTGCACTAACCGGCACATCGGCTAAATGAACGCGGGGCAGAGCTTGCAGCTGGAATGGTGTGGAGGCTTTGCCCAGATGAGGTGAAGAGCGGTGGGCGGTTTTGGACAATCCTGGGCTGGATGCTGAACTCCCTGGGCACCACCTGTAGCAGAAGCTTGCGAAGCGGTGAGGTTTCCCTAGCTGCTTTATTAGCAGCAGCACCACAAAACAGAGTCAGTGACGCTGCTGTCGCTGCCTCTTCTCAGTTTTGGTCACATATTCTTAAACCCAAAGATGACTGGATTGTTTATTTCTTTTAATTGTAATTGATCACATAGAAACTGCAATCACCTTGTGAATCACTGCATTCACAGAAAGACCATTCTTCCTCTTGCTCTCTGAAATGGATTGTTCCAAAGCGGTGGCCCTGTACGTTCAGGCTCAGCACAAACACGGGCTGCTTCCCTGGGAGCATCAGCGGATCACAGTCCCTTGCGCCTGCTCTGCTGGCTGTGTGTGCACACCCTGCCCATGCTGGAGCCCTTGGATTTGCTTTTGCTGCACGTACACTCTTCTTGAAGTTCTTCTAACACACTTATGTTCCCCTCTTTCATAGATTCTTTGCCTTGTGAATGATGTTTTAAAAGCAGCTGTAGTTTTGGAAAGCTGTAGGTGTGTTTAGGAAACAGCCGGTGCTGTTGTGACCATTCAGTGCTAGCAGCGTGGGTTGTAGGGTGCTCACTGCTCTCCCTTGTTTCCCAGGAACTCTTTGCGGAATTTGGGACCTTGAAGAAGGCAGCAGTGCACTATGACAGATCTGGACGCAGTCTAGGGACGGCAGACGTGCATTTTGAAAGAAAGGCAGACGCTTTGAAAGCTATGAAGCAGTACAATGGAGTCCCCTTGGACGGTGAGTGTGCCGGGCTGCTGCTCCTCATGGCTCGAGGAGTCGGACCCCACGTGCCCCCTGCACGTCTCACTGTGTTTTCCCTTCCAGGGCGCCCCATGAACATTCAGCTGGTTACGTCACAGATAGACACACAGAGGAGACCAGCACAGAGGTGAGAGGCTGCAGTGCCACACGAGCTCTGTGCCTGGTCAGCATGGGGAGTGGATCTGCGTAGCCTCTCTCTGTTTAGGAAGCATGGATCCATCTTCCATTCTGCAAACTTCGGGGTGGCTGTTTGTGTTAACCAGAATGCACCATAACAGTTGCTTTTTAAAAATCACAGTGTAAACAGAGGTGGCATGACCAGAAACCGTGGTGGTACAGGAGGATTTGGTGGTGGAGGTGGCAACAGGCGAGGTAGTCGTGGTGGGAGCAGAGGGAGAGGCAGAGGAGCTGGAAGAACTTCCAAACAGCAGCTCTCTGCGGAAGAGCTAGATGCACAGCTGGATGCTTACAACGCCAGGGTAAGTGCCGCTCGCGGTGGAGCGGGGCTCCTGCCAAGCCCCCCCGGAGGTGCTGACAGCCCAGGGCCGCGGGAAGGGGGGTGCTCCTCGGAGCACTGCACTGAAAGAGCCTCTCTCCAAAGCTGAACCATGGCGCGCTTAACTTTCCAAAGGGTTTAACAACTGCTGTTCCTTGCTCACACTTGAGAAATAGCCCCTCTTCCAGCTTCACAGCCTGTCTAGGACCCATGGAGGCTGGACTCTAGTAGCTGAATTAGCAGCTCCTTAGTATGAACAACAGCAGCGTAACAAAGCGACAGCAATAATAGGCTGGAAAAGTGAAAAACAAAAGGAAAGCCATATGTGAAGTAATGACCCTGGATGCTAACGGAGCAAAGGTCAGCGATGATGTTCATGGAATACAAGTCCATAAAGTGCAGAGCTGAATGAACAAGGCTTCGTTCAGAACCAGCTCAGGAGTCTTTGTGCCGTAGCAAGGTTAGTTGGCTGACGGGGCATTGAGGTTTTTAGATGCACTGTAATTCTGCATCTGGCTGTAGGCCTGGTAGGCGAGGGGCAGAATTGAGGTGCAGTGTGGGAGAGGACAGAAAAATCAGTATGGAGCTGTGCTGCCTGGAGAGGAGTCTGAGAATTAGTGATGTATAAACAGCAATATTAGAAAAAGACCCTGGGGGAAGCAGGGAGCCCATGGTCCTGTCAGAGCACCTCAAAGCGCCACCGTGCAGCTCTGACCAAAAGGCATCACCTGGAAGCGTCTGGTGCTTTAGTGGCCCCGCGCGGCGGCGGGAGCGCGGCCGGGCGCGCGGCTCCGCTCACGGCGCTCTGCTTGCCTTGCAGATGGACACCAGCTAAAGCAGCGAGCGGCAGTGCATGGGAGCGGACTCCAGACATCTCATTCCATGCTCTCCGGCGGGAGGGGCGTGCGACTGTGGCTACTAATATCAAGGATGGGATTTGTTTTACTTTTATGTTTTGGAATAGGTTTTAAACTCATGTAAAGGTTTTTTTTAATTCTGAAGCAGACCTGTTTTGTACTGAGTTATTTTTGGGATAAATTTTACTGGTTGCCTGTTGGGCCGAGGTGGCTTTTTCACCTTTGCCGTAATAAAATAGAACCGTGTCTAGAGCTGTGCCTGCTTGGTGAGGCCGCGGTCCTCCCGCGCGCGCCCCGCCCCCGCGCCGCTCTATGATCCGCTCGCAAGCGCGCGCTTCCCGCGGCGCCCAATCAGCGCGCCGAGCCGCGGCCGGAAGTGCGGGGCCGCGCGGGGCGGTTTATAACGGGAAGTGACGGGCGTGTGCCGGAAGTGCGGGGGCGCGCGCGGCGGGGCGGA